GCACAGAAATAGCAAGCTCTTAGTCACCAGGCTGCCCCTAAAACAAATGAACTCTGACTGACAGCACCTATTCCACCTCTGCCTGTATGTTTGCCCCGCCCCTGCTTTGCACCCAGTAGTGCTGGTAGATTATGGCCACGTTTCACCAAGCCCATTCCAGCCATGCTTCACAGAACTGCAGGCTAAATATGACTCAAAAGCAGGAGTGGTGCAAAGCTAGCAGTTTGTAGAGCTGGCTTTATCACCTACCCCATGCATACACCAACACTCTACCAAGGACCTAAATTCTCCTGCTGACCTCCCAGCCCCTGTACTCAATGCCTAACTGAAAGAAAGGCTCATCGCCCTCCCCAGCCTAACCATGCCCCATATATTAATGTCTAGCAGCCACCAACAGCACAGATTCTTCTGGGATAAGCAGTGATGCATAGGTTTGCCTATGAAGACTTGAGACCATCATAATTCAAGAAATGCAGAGGGTAGGCTGGGCAAGATGCCTGAGATAATTGAAATTGACCTACAACTCACCAGCCACCACAGAAAATTCTGCCATTTTGCACGCTTTGCTTCTATAGCTAGAAATCAATTCAGGAGGGACACATGATCAGATTTCCAATTTGGAACCTCAGACATGCAGTGTTATCTTTAATGATTCTTGGCAAAAGATACTCATTACAGATCTAAGCTCATCTAAATTAAAACATGAAACCTAAAAATTAAGAAAATTCTCCATTTCTTAGGTTCGTACAACCATAGAAAAATCATAGATGCAGGAATAACTCCTTAGGGTCTTGTTATGTCTGCAAATATCTCAACAGGAACTCTGTGAAATAAGGAGAGGTAAGGGAGAAAAACCAAAAAACAGACAAACAAACAAGCAAACAAACACACTCGTCAGGCCTCAGCTTTTAAACCTGGGCCATCTGGGTGAATGGCAATTTTTCATGGTCAATTTGAACTATCATGGTAAGGAAGATTGTCTCTCTTTTGATGGCCAATTTAATCTGCTCTATAATGTAGAACTCAGATTCCTACGGTATGGCAGGCTGTTGGCTTCAGATCTTCTCTCAGTGTTAAATGAACAGAAAGTGGGTACCGTCAGCCAGCACAGGTTAGGGGTAGAAAAGGTGCTTTAACAAGGTAAACTAAAATTTTACCTCTCATTGCCAGTTTAAAACTCATTCAGTAGAGAATTTCGAGATGTTCAGGTAGCCATTAAGCAATCTCTAAAGACTGTTTTAAATCTCTTCCCTGCACTTCCCATCTACCCTGGCCTTTGTGTTACTACATGAATGGCTGTCATGGCCCAGCAGAATAATTTGGTTCACCAGCCCTCTCATCCGGTTAGGACTACATTCTTTTTAGACCTAAATCCAGGAAGAGGAAGTCATTCCTTGTCTGCAGCATACCTCAATAGATAGTTTAGAAATACCAATGTGATGCTAGCTATTAATGGTCATTACAAATTCATAACTTGCTTTTCCTTAGCATGCATTCTTCTTTTTAAACAGTGAAGATGGTAAATTTTATTGGATTTTTAAAATAATAGAATTTTTAAAGTGCAAAATTCCTTTCTGGCTAATGGCTTCAGCTTATGCAGTCTTTTCTTTCTTTTTTTTATTAAGTTGGTTGGTACATTTTAGGTATATGTAATAATCACATTCATTAAGGGAATTTGTACCTGTCCATGTTATAACTTGAGTCTTTTTTTCCCCTGTTCCCTTACCCTCACTTTAACCCTCCTTCCCTGCCTTATTTATAAAAGCTTTGTTTCCTTTTCCTCTCATCCCTTTTTTCTTTTCCCTTGAGGCCATACTCATATTCATAAGTGAAGTAAATTGGACACATATGTATAAATACTGCATTGCTTCTCTAGTGTGAAAAACCAAAAGTGTAAATAAAGTCCAACATGTATAATAGATATTGTGAAATAGGAAGAGAATGTTCCAATGGGAAGGGAACCAGGGAGGGGGGAAGGGAGAAAGAAAGGAGGGCATGCATTCTTTATTTGCAGTTTTATTTACTTTTATTTTTTAGCTTAATTTCTTTTTTCAGTTTTTATTTTTTATTAGCACATGTGTGCAGCACACAGTGAACACACTCTTTGTGTGGCGGAGGTGCACATCTTACTTCCTTTGTTCATTCCCTTCCCTCCCCCGCCCTGCACCTCTTGATCCCCTTCTCACTTGAAAGAGACTTATCTCTCTACTTCCAATTATCTATCTTTTATTTTGCTCTTTATTTATAGTTTGGGTTGTTTATATAAGAGAAACCATGCAATATTTAAGCCTATGTGTGTGATTTATTTTACTTAACATGATGGCCTCAAGGTAGTACTTCACTGTGTATAAATACCACATTTTCTTTATCCAGTCATCTGGTTTTTTAAATTTATTTTTTATTAGTACATATTTGCCATACATAATGATCATATTCATCATAGGGAATTTGTACTTGTACATAATATATCTTAATTCTTCCTATTCATTTGTTGATGGACATTTAGGCCACTTTCAAGATTTAGCTATTACGAACGGTACTGCGGTAAACATAGATATGCATATACCTTGGTAGAATAACCCTGACCCTGGTCTTCATTCAACTCTTCTCTTTTAAAATGCATGTTAATATTGTGGACTGAACTGAACATGAAACTTAGTAAACCTCCTCTTATGGATGAAAGTACATCTGCAAATAGCACAAAAGATAAGCTATAGTAGTTTGCATTCTTTTTTCAATTAAAAAAACTACTTCTGAGCCTTCCTTTGTTCACCATAACTGAGAGATAGGTAACCTCCACCCTAAATTCCACTACTTAATATGGATAGTCATTGTGGACAAAGACCCAAGTGTTTCTAAGTATAACTGGCAAAATTTCTTGAAAGTCCTTCAAGAAATTTAAAATAAAAATATGGAGGGCAAATCTACACCCATGCATGCTGAAGAAGCTAAGACAGGAGTCTAGGTCACTCTCTGGAAAGAATCTAATTGGTATTTCATCACATGCAAAATGTCTTTCAGAATCACAATGCTCCAAAGGGTCACCTCAGACCTTCCTCTTCAGGGTAACTTTTCATTATTATGCTCTTGCCCATATTTGTCTTAAAACTTTCACTGGAACAGAGAAAAAAATGTTTCAATAGCTCTGTGCCTAAACTACTTAAGTCTAGTTCTAATCAAGACAATGATAAAAGTCTTGGCAGATATGTTTTCTCTACCTCTGTGGTTTACAGAGCCTCTTTCTTGGGCAAAATAACAACAACAAATGGACAACAAAATAGCCACTATGAATGTGAAATACAGTCAACTGAATGAACTCCCTCTTATGAGAATCAATGGGCTGATGTTTATGGACCAGGAGCCAGGCATCTGGAGCCAGCCTGCTTGCCAGAGTCATGGTTTTACTATGGAAGCCAACACTGCCGAAGGTCCGCAGGACAGCATGCTTCCCACTAGTGCAGGTGTTCACACCACACAGAGAAGTTCCTCTAGGATCACATCAGACACCTGTGACGTGGTCCCCAATCACGCTGGGTCCCAACCCACAAAGACAGGAAATTACTTTTAAGAGTAGGTCCAGACAGGTTCACCTTTCAAACAAAAGCCAACCCGTAACCCTGGCAGGGAGACCCCCTTTGTTAACACTCCCCAGTCTTGCCATCACAGTACAGTAGCCTGGTACCCAATGATGTAATTAAGAGCAAATCAAAACAATTACTTGATGTTTCTTGCAACAACCGTATGAAATTTCTAACCCCTCCAATCAAGCCAGATCAAAAGTAAAATGCATTTAAAGAGACGTAGATAAACTCAGCATCTGTAATAAGTTACTATGGAAACCAGGATGCCAGGTCCTACCCACCTTTTGAACAGCAATGTTAAATATGGCAACAGTCAGGGGCTGGGGATTTAGCTCAGCGGCAAAGCGCCTGCCTGGCAAGCGCAAGGTCGTGAGTTCGGTTCCCGGTACCGGAGAAAAACCAAAAAAAATATATATATATGGCAACAGTCAAAGCGCTCTCTCCCATGGAGATGAGACCACTGGACCAGCCACATGAACGACGCAGAATGGCAACTCCAAGCAGGGTCAGGGCTGGGCAGCCCGAGGGTAAAATTACGTTGGCACTGCTTCCCAAGGTTGAGCCAGTGCCCACTCTGAAGTTCCTGCATTAGGTTTGCAACAGACAAAGTACTGCTGTCACCTGTCACACACTGGGAGTGATAAGGGAAACACAGCAGCAAGAAAGTCCATCTGGAAAAAGTATCAGAAATGGCCTGGGGCTGTGGGATGGATCTCCTGGAACAGTTTCCAGGCCAAACGTGAATCTATAGGACAAAACCTAGAGCAATAACAGAACTCAGAGAAAGCACCTGTCTAACCATGTGTAATGAGCACAGGAATACTATAGAGGCAAAACCTAACATCTGTAAAGCATGCTATGTACCACGTGCTCTAGATGCATCTTATTTGAATCTCCAAAACAATTTTTAAAGACAGATGTCATTATTACTACTGGTATTACTTTTGAAATAAGAAAAATAAAATAGAGCGATTTAGGAAAATGGTTTAGATCTGAGAACTGGTAAATAGCAACACTGGATTATGCCGTTATCCTGAGTTTATTTTTTTAAATCAAATCTCACATACAGATATCATTTTCAAGGAAAACAGAAAGCAATAAAATAATCAATACATAGCAGCATGTTCCTAGTAAGAAATTAATGCAAACATAACTTTTTGTATACAGGCACACAGACATGGTGAGAAGCCTTTTCTTACCTAACTTACTAGCTTGATGATAACCTGAAGAGGTCCAGAGGACACAGTTAATCATCTTTTAATTGTATGAAGAAATTTAAATACAGCTTGAGTGAGGGACAGAGAAAAGATGACAGCCAAACTCTCTAAAGCTGGCCATGGTCAGCTCAGGCCATGAGCTCAGGCCATGGTCCCTCCCATAGTACACCCTGGAAGGACTTCCATTAACCATGCAACTGACCTCCACATCCCCGTGAAACTGAACATGGTGCTCACGCAGCGAGGGAGAGGTGGTGGGTTGAGTCCGTCCAGGCGCATGAGCAGGGCTGGAACACCAAACAGCACTAAGTACTTCACATAGAAGAAGAGCACCTGGGCCAATGCCAGTCCTCCTGAAAGGCAAAGGCACCTGTCAGACACACCAAGGACAGATGCAACGCCCCAGGAGCAAACAACCAGCCCTGCTTCTCCTCCACTCCCATTTCTCCTCAACTCATACATTTAAAACAGTATCCCACATTGGTTTTAGTCAATCAAATTTCTGGATTAACAATAATGAAATCTCCTTTATTACTGTGACAAGCAACAGGACATCTCAGCCTTCAAGCTTTTATAGGCAGTAGGAAAGAGAGGGCCTAAAACTATAGGCAGCATCTAAAAACTATTAGAAAGATCTTTCCCAAATTCCCTTAACATCTGTATCAGCTCATGCTCTATAGGAAGGCTAGAATCAAGAAGTGAAATCAGTAAGTGTTGGTGAAGATGTAGAGAAATTAGGACCACCATACACAGCATGTAGGAAGGTAAAATAGTATAGCTGTTCTAGAAAACAGTCTGGTGGTTTCTCAAAAAAGAGTTTCCATGACCCAGGAATTCCACTCCAGTATATGTCCCCAAGAGAAGTGTAAGCAAGTCCACGAAGAAACTTTCACTCAGATATTCATAGGAGCATTATTCATAATACCTAAAAGATGGAAACAACCCAAACATTCATCAACAAACAAATCACAGTCTATCTCAGTGATGGTGAACATTTTAGAGATGTGAGCCCAAACTGCAACCCCAAACCCACTTATTTATCACAAAGTGGCAACACAGCAATTAAACCTGAATACTGAAGTTTTAATTTAGAAAAAACAACTATATATTAACATCTTTTATCTTAAAAATAACAGGCATGCCATAGGTTTTCCACCTATGGCATAGGCTGGTTTTATCCATACGATGGAATATTATTTCACCATAAAGGGAATGAGGCACTGACACATCTACAACACAGACAAACCTTGACAAAATTACACTCAGTGAAAGTAAGCAAGTCACAAAAAGCCACATATTACTTGACTCCATTCATATGGAAGACCAGAATAAGGAAACCCACAGAAATAGGAAGATTAGTGTTGTAGTTTGGGGTTTTACAAGGGGAACAATACAGGACATATAGTTTATAAGATTATTTATAATAGTCACCCAAAGAGTCATATACAAAAAGAGTACAGGAAATCAGTCCACACATTAAAGACCAAAGAATCTGGACGAGGACCTGGATCCCATTGTAAAGTCCTGCATGAGTTCCTCTGAAGACCTAGAGCCCATAAGAATACCCCCCACAAGTCCAACTGGAGGCCCAGAGCCCACAACAATATCTTATGCAGGCCTATTTCATGGATCTGTACTGGGAAAGCCCAAAGGTCAGTGGTGGAAGCTAGAAAGTCTGTGCCAGCAGGATGAAGGATCTGTGCCAGGAGGCTGAGGGATCTGCACTGGAGCCAGGAAGCAATGCTCAAAGTAAGAACCAAGCTCCCCTGAAAAGTACTACAGCCATCCTCAGCAAAGTGAGGTCCCGAGCTCCTCCAATAATGGGAGCAGCTGAAAAGCCAACATGACAAGCTTCTCCAGGACAATGAGCAGTGCACCATCTTCTGCATGAGAGCTAGGAAGCGATGCTCAAAGTGAGGACCAGAGCTCCCCAAAAGTGAACCATAGCTGCTCTCAGTGACAACAAGATCCCGAGCTCCTTCAATAATGAGAACAACCGAGTTCATCAGGAAAGCCAGCAAGACAAGGTCCTCCAAAAAAACCAACAGCTCCCTACAGCTCCCAACAGCTTCTAAACTTCCTCTCCAGTTCTGCCTCTTGTGCTGCCAGCAACAATCCTCAGGTGGGCCTCCCACACCCAGCACCATGCTGGTCCAGCTGGGTGTTATAAGTTGACCATCAGTTGTCAATCCACCACAATTAGGGGTTGTTTAGTACTTGAGGAAGGAAGAGATGGGCGGGTTGGAAGACACAGCAGGAGAAAACTGGCAGCTACCAGTAGGATTTGTTTTTGATATGATAAAACCATTCAATAAGTGGCAGGAGATAACAGTTGTACAAATTTGTAAATGCACTAAAAACTTTTGATATGGTTCACTTCAAATGGGTGAACTATATGTTATGTAAATTATATCCCAATACAACTGTTAGAAAAAATGAACAAACAAAGCACCCATGTCCTGTGTTGCACAGCCAGTGGCCTCTTGTTGCTTCCTAAGAGGGAAGAAAGCAGGGCATGGGCATCGGGTGCCATGCAAGTCTGGAGATAAGGTGCCAGGTCCCCAGGGGGAAGGGCCTACAGCTCCAGGTGGGACTCGGGGGCTCTTCCTAGGCCTCCCAGCTGACCACTGCAACCCCTTCACCCCAGGAGGCAGGTTAAGGGCTGTGGCTCCATATTGCCTAGATATCATCCACCTGGCCTTGGCTCCAGAGGCCACGAGGCAGGTCCTCTTTGGGAGGAGAAGGCCAATGTCAAAGCTTGGCAAGAAACCCCAGAGGGGATGACTGACAGCCACGTGCTGTCCAACCTCAAGATCACCCTCCCTGGTGTGCAAGGAAATACCACAGGACGTGTTGATAGAGGGACCAAGTAATCTTCTGAGATAGTCTAAAGAAGTTATTAAGGCTCAGAGAGGAACTGCAGAAAATATTACTGTCTAATCTATTTGAGGATCTTTGAAATAATTCCCTACAATGAAGTGTGTGGCTGTAAATGGTAGCTCTGTATCAGAAGAAACACAGGAGCCATTTTTTAATATGAAATTTGGAGATGATAGGTAGTAGGTCAATTGTGAAAGTCACATGTCCTACAATGGGAAAAGCTACTAGGAAATCTCAGGAATTGCTGTGTCTTGTTCCCATTCAGCAGTAATCAAATAAGTACTTCAGAGATGGAAAGCAGCCATGCTTGCTGGAGAAGTGAGGTATGAGCTTTGAGGATTCCCAGATGTGTCTAATAAAAGTCAAGATAAAAAGCTGATGTGTGTGTGTGTGAATACACAGGCTTGTATGGGTCTGTCTTTAATAGTAACACCATACACATTCATCAACAAGTGAGATATATGTGCTACCAACAGCATCTGCAAAGCATTTGAGGGCACATGACCACTCTGAGTGAAGAAATCAGTTCCACTAGTGGAGATGGAAACAGGGGAGTGGGAGGCCTCAAAGTAGTCCAAAATAAATCACCAAGCTACAATCAGAAAGGTCCCAGAGCTGGAGATGGCAGAGTCCTCAGAAAGCATGGCTGATTACAGAGCATGATGCCTCCAGAGCTGAAGGGGACCTGCCTGCAGGATCAAAGCTGTCTGAGCACCCAGGGAGGACCAGGCATGGTTAAGGCCATCCCAGCTTCTGGGTATAGCAAGCAGCACCAATTTCTTTGCCTGTTAGCAGAATGCTAGCTCAGGAAAGATGAGCTGCTTCCAACTCACGTGCTCCCTTTATTTCTGTACTATTTTTGTACAGTTGTCATCGCTGAGACATGAATTAGAATCAATAGTTCAGTCTATATTTTTAATTAATTACCATTTGTACAAAATCTTCACCATTTGTTAGCATTTTCATATAGAACTGGGCATAAAAAAAGATTGATTTTGTGCAGATGTTCAATATAACTCTATGGCCAAATCTAATGGATGATATTAAGGCTTTTTTAACCCCAATATGGATTGAAAGCACAAGAAGCCAGGCATGTTTATTAATATACAGTAGCGTACTATTTACCTGCTACAGAATATTTCATATGGATTAAGATACAAAAGGTTTAAACAGATTTTCCTTAAAATTTTAATAATTAGCTCACAAGTCTATAGGAAAAAAGAAAAATGATATGTAAAGTATTATAACTGTAAAGTTTCTATGCTAATTTTCTTAAAATTATATTTACATTTGTAAGATTAGCTATTCTATCTTGCTGTTGATTTTCATTATCCCTATGAAAGATGAGTGGTGCATTCTTATTTCCCCTTGACCTAAAAATTAGTCTTTCCTCCGTAAGATTTCATCTAAAGTTTCGGGGTTGACCCTAAGGGTTTTGCTACATCCTTTCAGGCACACAACTGGCAAGAAGCTAAAGTAAGAATATAAATTACTCTACCTTGACTGAAAGTCAATGGAAATGCATAAATTGAACAAGCTCTTGCTAACAGTGAAAAAATACAAAATTTGAGTATATTTCAATGCTTTAATAACTGCTAGGTTTGTGTTTAAAAGATTCTCTCAGTGAAGGTAACAATATGCAATATAACAACCGTTGTTAATTTCCTATCATCTTGTTTTGAAATTCTGTATTGTTTTTATTGTTTTTTGTTGTTTTGGTTTGGGGTTTTTTGGTTTTTTTTATTGTCTTTAAAATTAAAAGAAAAAGATTTTCTCAATTGACAAGAGCTACAGTTGATTCTACCTAAGCTATCCCTCTCCCACTCAGTCCATACAAAAGTTTGAATATTATATTACCACCCCTTAACATTCGCTCAGTCAAATCAGGGGGGACCTGGCCTTCCTGCCTCACAGTCCGTCTCATTACAGGCTGATTTGACCTTTCCTTCTGTCACACAACGTTTTCTTCCGCCTTTGTGTTTACTGTTCCTTTTCATCCTAGCAAAATCTTATTTCTCCTTCAGATCCCAGCCCCACTGTGGTCCCATCTTGTTCATCTAACATTGTTACTATAAATACATAGGAATTAAACAACTGATTCTTGACCAACCCATGGATCAAGTAAGAAATCATGAAATAAATCAAAACATGTCTTAAAACAAATGAAAAGAGAAAGGTTGACAGTGTAACTCTATGGAAGAGTGTTTGCCTAACATATGCAAGGCCCTCAGTTCAATTCCCAGCACTAAAACGGAAAAGGAACAAGGGGAATGAGGATGAACTTAGGAGTAGAACATGTGCCAGCATCCATGAGACCCAGCATTTAATCCATAGCACCAAAAAAAATTTTTTAGCTGGGTGTAATGGCACATGCATATAATACCAGCTAATCAGGAGGCTGAGGTAAAAAGATTCCATGTTCAAGGCCATCCTGGGCAGCAAAAGATCCTGTCAAATAGGGGCAAAGGAAGGC